ATTTATTTCAGATAATTTCTAAAGTCTCTGTCTATGATAAAACCATTTCCTCTTTTTGAGAGCTGCCTTTTCTGTTCTCTAGGGAGAGGAAAGAAAAGAGGAACTTGAACTTGATTTTGTAAAAAATCTATTTGTATCTAAATTGCTTTACAAGATTGTGAAAGTTTAAATATAAGCTGCAGTTCTGACTTGATTACAAAACCTGTCAGAGTTGCCCCGAGGGGACGTCTTTTCTCACAGAGAGGAAGTCAACGCTGCAAAATACATTCTGGAGGGTTTGAAGATCTTACCACATGGAAAGGAATGGATTTTTAGAAAAATTCCAAATTAGTTTAGGTACAGGTGAAGCCGGTGTTCCGACTTAGATTGCCTTACCGCAATGCTTCTTTTCTAACTTAATACTGGTCAAGATCATAAGCACTTGAAGAATGAGTTTTAGGTCATTGGCCAGTGGGGTACAAAGGTGATAATATGAAAGGAACTAACATTTACTGAGCCTTATTTGTCAGGACCGTGCAAGACATCATGTCCATAGTTGATTTTCTTTCTTTTTTTTAGGTCTCACTCTGTCACACTGGCTGGAATGTAGTGGTGTGATCTTGGCTCACTGCAACCTCCACCTCCTGGGTTCAAGCAATTCTCCTCCCTCAGCCTCCCAAGTAGCTGGGATTACAGGTACCTGCCAATATGCCTGGCTAATTTTTGTATTTTTAGTAGATACAGGGTTTCACCATGTTGGTCAGGCTGGTCTCGAACTCCTGAACTCAGATGATCCACCGGCCTTGGCCTCCCAAGTGTCTGGATTACATGTGTGAGCCACCATGCCCGGCCTAGTTTATTTTCTTTAATCCTCACTTCAACACTGGCAGGAAGGTAGCAGAGGATAGTGTGCTCCCAGTCTTATTGGTGGGGACCCTATCTCTAGGGGGCAAATTCACCTGTGATCCCACAGCCAGCAAGGGACAAACATGGATGTGGCTAATGTTCATCTGGCTCCAAAGCCCACACTCTTGACTAGACCAGACTAAGCAAGAGAATGAAAATGAAGAACTTGGGAAATGAGCCAGAGACTCACACTAAGGAGCCGTGAAACTCAGCTCCTCTGTCTTTTCTTTCCTAAGAAATCTCTGAGGATGATTAATTCCTTTGTGTCGCTGTTAGCCACTAGCACTGTAGAGAGACTCAAGTCAGATGTGTGGTTAGAGCTTCAGATCCAACACGTATCAGCTCTCTGATGTTTCTCATCCCTCATCAAAATTGCCTTGCAAGGAGTTTTTCCAAACCAGCTGTGGGTGGGAGCAATTCAGTTCCAGTCCTGATTTTGACGGTGAAGTTCTGGCTGCCCTGACCACACCTCCACGGAGAAAAACTGAAACTGACAGATGAAGGGAGCAATTCCAAGAATAATTTTGGCACTCGATTTAAGACTGGAAAATAACTTTCCTTCTTATTTGGGCAAGGAAAATGCCTCAAGGACAGTAAGAGCCTGCAGGAGTGCTCCCGCGGAGAGCCCCTTTTCCTCTTATCTGCCAGGGCTCAGGTCTGTAAAACAGCGGAACTATTTGCCATGTTTCTAAGTTTTGCTCTTTATAGTTTATAGTGCAGCTGGAAACATCCACATGATTAAAATAAAAAAATTAAGCCAAATAGCAAGACTTTGGAGTATTAGAAACCACAATCTTTACAAGTATTGTATAAGAATTAAACTAAAATTTCAATGTCTTCTATGAGGTAAGCTGTTTGAACCCTAAGAATTTTATATTTCACAATATCAAATGTATCATTTTTGGGAAAGCCAATTCTTTAGAATCTTCTTTTTGGGTCAGTTTCAAATTTCCTTTCTCACAGCCATTGAATACAGCTTAAATGAGATAAAGAAATATCTAGGCTAAATTTGTATAATTGCTTTTGAATCTTGATAAAGGATACTTTGACAACACATCAAAACTATAATCTTTTTGACTCAAATTTCACATTTAGAAATTTATATGCATGAATTGATATATATACGTGGTTATTCTGCAGGTAGTTTATATTAAGGCAAAAGAATGGAAACAATCTAAATATCAACAGAGGACTAGCTGAATAAATTACAGTATATGTATGCAGTGGAATACTATGCAGCCATCAGAATCGATAAGGAAGCTGACACTTGGCAGGCACAGTGGCTCATACCTGTAATCCCAGCACTTTTAGAGGTCGAGGCAGGCAGATCACCTGAGGTCAAGAGTTTGATACCAGCCTGACCAACATAGAGAAACCCCATCTCTACTAAAAATACAAATATTAGGTGGGCATGGTTGGTGGGTGCCTTTAATCCCAACTACTTGGGCGGCTGAGGCAGGAGAATCACTTGAGCCTGGGAGGCAGAGGTTGCAGTGAGACAAGATCGTGTCACTGCACTCTAGTCTGGGTGACATGTGTGAAACCCCATCTCAAAAAAACCAAAAACAAAAAAACTAGCTGGGCATGGTGATGTGTGCCTGTAATCCCAGCTACTTAGGAGGCTGAGGCAGGAGAGTCACTTGAACTCGGGAGGCAGGAGTAGCAGTGAGCCAAGATCGCACCACTGCACTCCAGCCTGGGCAACGGAGCGAGATTCCATCTGAAAGAAAGAAAGAAGGAAAGAAGGAAATAAATAAATAAATAAATAAATAAATAAATAAATAAATAAAGAAGGAAGGAAGGAAGGAAGGAAGAAAGGAAGGAAGGAAGGAAGGAAGGAAGGAAGGAAAGAAAATGTGGTATATATACACCAGGGAATACTACTCAGCCATAAAATAAAATGAAATAATGGCCTTTGCAGCAAGTTGGATGTAGCTGGAGGTGATTATTCTAAGTGAAGTAACTCAGGAATGGAAAACCAAATACCATAGGTCCTCACTTATATGTGGGAGCTAAGCTATGAGGATACAAAGGCATAAGAATGACAGAATGGACTTTGGGGATTTGGAGGGAAGTGTGGAGGGGTGAGGAATAAAAGGCTACACATTGGGTACAGTGTACACTGCTCACGTGACAAGTGTACCAAAATCTCAGAAATCATCACTAAAGAGCTTATCCATGGAACCCAAAACCACCTGTACTTCAAAAATATTGAAAAAAAAAAAAGAAAAATTTATCCATGGTTTATACCTTTTCCTTATGGGCGTCATTTTTTCCAAAGGTTAATTTTTTTTTTAAGGAGTGACCAGTATGTGTATTTATCAGGAAAAATACAGTAAAGTCCCCACTGCTCAGTCCAAGATATTTAAAATGAGCAAAATGCAAAGGCTACAACTTATATTGGATATCAGTTGACAGATTATCCACTAAAATATCTATTAACTAACGTCTTCGGTACTGCTGCAATAGGAGCACTCAAAGCTTGTGTCCGCACGTTGGAAAGATTTTCTTTAAAGCAACATTGGTCCAGATGTGTAACAGTCAACCTATTTAACCATCTTCCTTTGGAGGGGTGTACCAGCCATTTTTCTCATGTATCTGTACAATGGAATTATAAGACTGTTGGGCTCTTGCTAGATTATACTGATTCTTATTTGCTCCAAACTGCACTCTGGCTTTGCCTTTGACTAAGGTGGCGTTTATTTGCATGATGACCGATTCTATTGAGTAGGCACTGCCCCAGCCCTGTTTTGTGAGAAGTTCCATACATAATGCTCCTCCACCCAATACATACCCTCCTGAGAGAACAGTTAACACCACTCGAACAAATGGAGGATCAAATGGAAAGTTATCCTTAAAAGAGAAGTTAAGCAATATACATTCTATGCCTTCTTTTTCTTTTAAGATCTGAAGATCACTGTGCAAAGGACTATCAGGGTCGACCTTCTGCAGTTTAACATGCCAGTCATATAAACTGTCATTTATGAGTTCTACTGAATAAATCCCTGTTTTATAACTCTGTGATCTGTATATGTCCCTGGGCTCTTTCATAAATCTACCTGAAGCTTGCACTGAACCAGACACTGCACCATTTAAATGGTCTTGCCTTTGAGTCTTCCTAATTTTCTCTAAGATTG